GGGGCTACAGGCGCGCGCCACCACGCCCGGCTCGTTTTCGAGTCATGGTGGAGACGAGGGCGCGCCAAGTGGCCCGGGCCGGTCTCGAACTCACGGGCTCGGGCGATCCCCCGGCCTCGACCTCATGACAGGCCGAGCCGCCCAGCCCCGGCAGGTGGAAGCGCTAAAGTCAGTGCTAGCCAGTTGCCGTCGGGGGTGGGTTAGCGACTGAGAAGCCCGTGACTCAGAACTTTGGCTGCTGCAAACAATGCCGGTGGTAGGATTATCTCCTGCTGCTCTAGCCAGCCCCGGGGTGGACGGTCGGCGGTGCACACAGCAAGGAGGCTCACCTGCATATCTGTGGGTGGACGGTCCGAGGCAGTGGAGTCAGGGGCCAGTGCCGTCGGGCAGAGCGCGTGTTGAAAGTCGGCCCTGCAAGGGGGATCGGTCTCTCTACAGGCTCTGCCAAGGCAGGGGCCTGGTCTCTAACCGTGAAAGGGCTCTCCTCTCTGCCCTGGACAGGGGCCGACTGTGCCTACATTGACCCGGGTGCTAATTTGAACTGCAGCAAAGACAGAGAAGGCAGCCTGGGAGGTAGTTAACATCTCCCCCGCCCTCAAAAAAATGCGTTTCCTAATGGACAACCAAGAATCCCTAGGAGGTAGGAAGGGATTCCTGCCCAGCCAGTTCGTGTTGTAGCCCGCAGAACAGCAGAGAAAGCTGTTCAAAGCCCTGCGTGTAACCTTGCCTTGGAGCAAGCTTGGCTGTGGTCGAGCCTGGCTGCTTTACTCCGTGTTTCCGAAAAACAGACCTCTTTGACCTGAAAGTCAGATGAAAAAAATGAAGAAGAGACTACTTCAGGTCCAGCCTCGGGTTTGGCTGCAGCTTCCAGCTTCTTCTAACTGGTGAGCAAGGCACCTCATTAACTGGAAATATAAAAATGAGTTAAAGGGTTGTTTGGTGATTCTTCAGAAAGTTAAACGTAGAATCCCATGCGACCCAGCAGTTTCACTCCTAGGCATACTCAAGAGAATAGTATCCCAAAGTACTGAAAACAGGTGTTCAAACAAAAACTTGTGTACCCAAGTTCTTCGTAGCACTCTTCAGAGTAGCCAAATGGTGAGAACCGTCCAAATGTCCATCAGCGAATAAGTGGACAAATAAAATGTGGTATATCCATGCAATGGAGCTATTCGGCCATAAAAAGGAGAGGAGTACCGATGTGTGCTACAACCAGGTGGACCTTGAAAAGACTGTGCTGAGGAAAAAAAGCCACATATTACGAGGTTCCACTCATATGAAATGTCCAGAATAGGCGAACCCACAGGAAGAGAAAGCAGATTAGTAGTCGCTAGGGGCTGAGAGGTGAGGGAAGACGGGAAGGGACCATTGAGCAGGTACAGGGTTCCTTTGAAGGTGCTGAAGACGCTGTGGAACCAGACAGTGGTGATGGTTGCAGAACATTGTGAATGTACTAAATGCTGCCAACTGGAATTGCACACTTTAAAATGGTCACAGGATTAATTTTATCACCATAAAAATGAGTTAGGAAAAACAGTTTTTCCATAAAAACACAGACATCATTTAACATTGATGTGCTCACAGTGTACAGTGTTTAATGGAAGTGCCATTGGGTTTATTTTAGAGCAACAATAACAATTTAAATTCTTTGCAACAAGCAAATCTACTCTAGCAGCTGCTTCAGGTGACATTGTAATCATATTAGTGATATTTTAATTATTAGATAGATTGTTTCAAGACTGAACAAAAATCCAAATCCTTAAAGGGAGCGTAGAGTCTGCTGGTTAGAATTGAGTCTGCTGGATGCTGTCGCCAACAGACTCAGACGTCAGTTCATTGGAAACATCTGTGGGTGCTAGCCACTTAATCCACATGCACATGCAGATGAGGGGCTTGGATGCCCTGTGGAGCTGTGACAGAAT